AACACTAAAGTAGTCCAGCGCTACATTTGCTTCAAAATTAAACAAGGTGTACATTTCATATTCAAGTCAAAGAAACGTAGAGATTATTCAGCTGTAGACAAGGCTGATATGTCCAGCGCAAAACATTGACACGTTTCACAATCAAAGCCACACAAAACAACCACTGAACAGGCCGGGTGGTTACAGGGGAGAATGTAAGTCTTCTATAAAGTCTTCTATAAAGTATAAGATGAACGATCCGAAATGTGAAGTCGTCATCAGGACTCCAAACACGGAAGGTTTCTATACATAAAAGGGCCATAAAATACACTCCTACCATAATTGTATATGATACCTGTCAACGCTCCTGTTTAAAAGTGTACCCTAAATAAGAGCACGTATGAACTCACCGTTTTTGGAGTCTGTTATCGCTGGTGGAGAGGAGAGGAGTTGTTCTCAGTGGTCCGGGGTACGGCCACGCGGGTACGGCCTCGTCTGCGGGCTCGTCTCGTCTAACAGTAGAAGCGTTACTAGTTGAATACCTTCAGGGGTCCAGTTGTAAGTATCGTTGATACGGCAAAGGAGTCAAATAAGTCAAATAGTTTGTCAGTTGGTACAACGAAAGTTTAGTACGTCCTCGCGGGGAGCTGGCGACCGACTGACTGAATGTATCGTGCCTCGTGCACGGACCACCCACTGCACCCAGAGGTGGTGAGCCAGACAGATAGGTTTGTTGCTATGGCAACTGTCGCGACGGACTTACTGGGAAATAGTCTCCCTTCCGGTTTACAGCAAAAACCCTATTTTGCAGGGCAAAAGGCCTTTAGCTTCCAAACTCACGGAATGACAGAAAAGCATGTGCCATCCTACATGTCCTACAGTTTTGGAAAAAGGTGATATGTAAATATTAAAAAAAAAAGAGAGAGAATAGCTAGTCTTCTGCACGATTATTTTATGAAAGAATGTTTTATGCAAAGTCATCTTAGTTTGCTTGTGAGATAGGTATAACCATATTTTATTTCATTTACTGTATCATAATGTTGTGTAGCGTGTTCATTTTTTTCTCTACACCTATGCCCTGAACATCTGCTTGGAGACTTCGCACACAGTAAAATCCGACCAATACAATTTCCAAGTAGATACAGGGACCTAATGTTTGTTTTACTAATTTTCAGTAGGTCTGCAAGCATTCACTCGAATATCAAACAATGGAACAGATACAGAGAAAGGGACAACCCCAACTATACCCACGAACATCTGCTTGGAGACTTCGAAAACAGTAAGATCCGACCGACGCAATCTCCAAGCAGATACAGGGACCGAATGTTTCTAGTAATTCTGTGTAAAAAATCATCTGAAGATCAAACAATGGAACAGATACAGAGAAAGGGACAACCCCAACTATACCCTCCCCCCGAACATCTGCTTGGCGACCTCGTAAACAGTAACATAGATCCGACCGACACAATCTCCAAGCAGATACATGGAACAGATTTTCTAGTAATTCTGTGTAAAAAATCATCTGAAGATAAAACAATGGAACAGATACAGAGAAAGGGACAACCCCAACTATACCCTCCCCCCGAACATCTGCTTGGAGACGTCGTAAACAGTAAGATCCGACCGACACAATCTCCAAGCAGATACATGGAACGGATTTTCTAGTGATTCTGTGTAAAAAAATCATCTGAAGATCAAACAATCACGGCACGAAAAACGGTATTTACGGATGCTTAAACTATGCTTAAAGTCAACGTACATTCTTTACTCATCTATACACGTCTTATACGAGTACGTAAAGATCGACGTTACGTGGCCTTTCCGTAGCTGCGGATGGATCCTTATTTTCCGGTTTTCACGTAGCCTTTTAAAGCACTTAAAGATGTCTTAAATGATGATTAAAGTATTTTTAATTGTAAGTAAAGTTGACGTATTTTCATTCTTTAAGCACTTTTAAGGATAATATACGTATGTGTAAAGATGACGGAAAGGTGCGGATAGATCCGTATTTTCCGGTTTTCACGTAGCTTTTAAGCACTTAAAGATGTCTTAAATAATTATTGAAATATGTTTAAAGTGTAAGTAAAGTTAATGTATTTTCATGCTTTAAGCATTTATTACGGCATATATAAGTGTGTGTAAAGATGACGGATAGGTGCGGATGGATCCATATTTTCCGGTTTTCACGAAGCCTTTCAGCTGCTTAAAGTTGCCATAAATACTTTTTAAGATGCTCTTATAACGTATTTAAAGTTCGTGTGTATTTCTAATTGAAACATTTTTACGGCTAATATACGTGTGTGTAAAGGTAGTAATTTGTTGCGTATATGGTGCTTATATTTCGGATTTTCAGTTGACTTTAAGCAGCTTAAACTGCGTCTTACCCATAAAGTGTGCGTGACATTGGCGTATTCTGTTCCGTTTACTTGCCGTTTATTCTGCGTATGTCAAAGGTATTTGTGGCTTTTTGTGTCTACTCCTGTCGTGGTTTGGGTGGGCTATCTTCGGGCCTGTAGACCATTCCTGCCGTCCTGTTCAAGTTAGGCTCCTTGGATATAGTTTAGCGGCACGATATCAATGCAAAACGTACCGAGGAGCCTGGTTTACTCGGGCGGCGAAGAGGTCCTGGATCCCCAAAGAAAGCCGCTCCATACCCGATAGACTGGAAACCAGGCTTGTGACCAAGTCGTATGATTAGTCTTTGTTCTCGATGATGCAGCCGGCCGAGCTCGAGCGATAAGTCACTGTGTCCGTGCAAAGTTCCTTCAAGATTCTGCGCTGTATCCAAGTCTAGAATTCCGAATCCAACGTCGTTAAATACTATTAGGCAAAGGTACAGTTTACTTTGAAAGAAAACTCTTGTCCATTTGGCCACCGCGCGCAGGCTTAGAGAAATAATCTGCTAAGTTTCGCGAATACAGATACCGATATGTGTCCCGGTCTTATTCGCCGATACAAATATACGATCGTGATGTTTTCTCATTCCGATGCCGTGTCGTGTTCAATATCTCCACCCCAATCCGTTTTTTAAACTTGTACAGAACGAGGACCATGTGCCATAACCTGTCCTAGTGGAATTGGTCCAATCTTCCATCCCGTACTTGTCTTCAAACAGGCGCCCTGCAAATGTTAGCCCTGGTGCTTGCGTCTTGCATATCTAGTAGATTTAAAAAAAAAAAAAACACCGTTGTCTGTCATTGAATAATACCCTGTCACGTGACACACCATCTGGCAGATATTGGCTCCCCCATATGGCGATTATCTTGCGTTTGAATCCCTGTGTTTTTTTTCCACAGCTTGGCACTGAAAAAAATTTACATTTTGAAAAATACCATGCCTTGTCAGCGCATCTTACCGATACACACCGCAGATACTGTATTATCATAAGCATGTTAGGGACAGACAATATTTACCCGTTTGAATACAGAGACAAAATAGAATATCGCAAAATTATACAACTTTTGGGAACATATGAGCTGAAGGGAAGAAATCACCTTTATCTAAAATTCTCATGGATAAAGATTAAACACGTCGTATGTTTGTTGAATAAACGTTACATTTTCTTTAGCTTTTGGGAATATATTAGCCAACTGCCCTTAGCCAAATACGCGTAAGGTTAAAGGATTAAACACGTCGTATGTTTGTGGAATAAACGCTACGTTTCATAGAGCTTTTGGGAACATATAAGCTAACTTCACTTAAAATACGCGTAAGGTAAGATTAAACACGTCGTATGTTTGTTGACTAACCGCTACGTTTCATAGAGCTTTTGGGAACATATAAGCTAACTTCACTTAAAATACGTGTAAGGTAAGATTAAACACGTCGTATGTTTTTTGACTAACCGCTACGTTTCATAGAGCTTTTGGGAACATATAAGCTAACTTCACTTAAAATGTGCGTATGGAATAATAAACATGTCGTTTGTTGAATAAACGCTACGTTTCATGGAGTTTTTAGGAAAATATAAGCCAACTTCACTTAAAATGCACGCATGGAAAAACTAAACATGTCGTATGTTTGTTGACTAAACGCTATATTTCATATAGCTTTCGGGAATATATAAGCTAACTTCACTTAAAACACTCGTAAGGTATGATTAAACACGTCGTATGTTTGTTGAATAAACGCTACGTTTCATGGAGTTTTTAGGAAAATATAATCAAACGTCACTTAAAATGCGCGTATGTAGTAATTAAACACAATATTAATGGCGACTCCGGGATATCAAGTAGTACGGACAAAATAAACTTGACAATAGAACTATAGTTATTTCATAGATTTTCCCCTCAACTTAAACATATTAAATTCGTTTTTCTTTCAACCGCTTCGAATTGAGTCACATTAATCCCCATAGGGTGATACTCGGATAATATATAGCCGGCGTAGTTAGTCTGGAAGAGAAACATGCATAAAGTCTCCTTGCCCGTAGCCTCAGTAGCAGGCTTATAGAACTGGTGGTCTTCGGCTGTTTTCTGATTAGCCCAGTTCTAAAAATGGGGGTAATTAATTCAACCAGACCGGCTATTCACCAATTTCACACTTCCCATTATCTGATAATGCCTAGTAACGGTCACGGATATGGCGTAAGACCACCCTCTTCCCCCTTCCTCGATGTAATATTTCCAACAAGTTCTATCGACAAACTGGTCAACTATTGTTTTGAATTATTTCTCTAGTATAAAGCGCATTCCATAATTGCATTTTTGTTGGAATTAGAGAAAATGACGTACCTTCTATCGATATCGATAACGGCTACGAGGTCCTAACGCTCGCCGTTGACTTAACTACCGCTTAGACGCTGTCAGTGAGGAAAGCTGTGATCCAAGCACTGATCTCTCCACGGATGCCGTAATGACAGAGGCTATGGTTAACCTAATCGAAGGCTTTAGCAAAGTTCATCACCAGGACGTCCATCTGACGTCCACTCACCATGTTCTCAAACAGCTCTTCTGTGAATTCCAGAAATTGAGATTCACATGACCTTCCTCTTCTAAAACCACTTTACCTGCTTACCGCAGGTTGGGATCTTCCAGCGAGTTGTCCAACAAATGGTCACCTCAGTCTCCCCAACGGCAAAAGGTACGTGGCGCCATCCGACGAGCAAGTCGACTACGCCACGGCCCAGGCGAGATGTGCCGCCGAGGGAGGAACGGTCGCTCTGCCGCTGGACACGAACGAGCAGGCGTATCTTGTGTTTTTCAAGAACTGTCTAAACCAGTAAGAATCATGTTTCCAATCACTGTTACACCATAAAGTACATGATCAGTTAAGTTAAATATTAAATATGATTGAAAATTTAGCCACAGAGAGTACTTATCATCAACTCTACAGCATCTCTACAGCAGCTGGCTAGTCCACTGGCAGTGGTTTGTGTTTAACTACCATACTCTTTCCCGAATGCTACGTGCTAAGTAGATTAAGCAGATATACCATTTCTAAAGTCTTTTGTATGACTCGGCCGGGGATCAAACTCACGACCTACCGAATGCAAAGCGTCTAAGCACTCTACCCACTTGACCATTGCACTAGTACTATATACTGAGGCACACTCTACTCCTTTCTAAGACTTGGAAATACCTTAGAAAACAACATTCACCGTGAAACATTGTATCAACAGTACAAAAACAGTAAAAACAGTACAAAACGGGTGTAAAAGGAAAATGTCATTTTTCTCTTGTCATCTTACAGAAATGCTCAGTTTTGGCTCGGACTCAGTAGACCAGTCGGAACGTGGGTTGACAGCCAGGGTAGCGCGCTCGGCGGATTCTCTGCCTGGGCACCCGGGGAGCCCGATGAGCGTACAAAACTCTGTTCTCGTCTTGTGTTTGGAGCACAGTCCAACAGTGAACGCAGGAACAAGTGGGCGGACGCACCATGCGGCGAAAGCTTCAGATACATCTGTAAAACAAGTAAGTTTTGTGTAATATCCGTCATTAGCATTGTTTTATTCAACAGTTTTACAACACAAGATATAAAGGTGTTTCAAACACAACAGTTACTGCTTTTTTTTAATCAGTCTTTCGACAAAGTTTTCAAGTACATACGTTACAATAACGTTAACATATCTGTTTAAAGCTAAAACTTTTGATCCAACACAAAAATTCTCTCACCTAGAGCTTTCAACCAGTCACTCTGGTCTTCCTCAGTAGACTGACCCAGTGAAGCTTGTCACGTGGCTTCTTTGAAGTGTGACGTCGTTATGTTGATGACACTCACACGAAGTTGAAGAAAGTACATGCACAGGAGTTTACAGACTTTCTGAACAGTTTAGACCCTGATATTAAGTTTACTACTGAGGAGGAACAGAACAGATCTTTACCTTTTCTTGACACCCTTACAGTCATACAGGAGGATGGGTCACTACAGATACGGATTTACCGGAAACCCACACACACGGATCAATACCTAAACTTTGACTCTAACCATCCACTTGACCACAAACTAGGGGTGATTAGGACTCTATCCCACAGAGCCAACGCCATAGTGTCAGATCCACAGGATTTAGAGACTGAGAAGTCCCACCTGACCCAAGCATTAAAAACTTGTGGCTACCCCCAGTGGGCCATCAACAAAGCGACCTGCCCAAACCTCCTAACACCAAACCCTCAGCAGGAACAAAGTCCAAGGGGTTGGTGGTCCTGCCATACATCAAGGACTTCACAGCACGAAAACACATATTTAAGCCAACTTTACGAACTGCGTTAAGAGGTATTAAAGGCGGCGAAATATTTAAGCAGCCTTTACGACATCGGAAAGGCAACTGAAAGGGAAATATTGCCTTTCCGTAACCTTTCCACATGTGTAAATGTCACGTTAATATAACGTGTTTCTTTCCGTAAGCTTTACATGGACTTAAATGTAATGTAAAGAAAGCATTGCGGTAATGAGTTAACTAGAGGCATCTCAAAGCCATATGATCTTTTTGATTATTATGAGTAAAGTCCTTACCAACCTCGCGCGACTGAACACAAGCATTTCATATGCTTTTTCATATTTGGTTTTACCTGAAATATTAGATATATTCCATGATTTCTCGCTGAATCGCCGCAAAATCTAACATTATTATGCCTAGTCATTTCTATATGTTTATGTCTGGCTTTCCAAAAACATACGGTTCCTTTCCTTGTTCTATAAACAAGCTTTCCGCCGACCGAGAGACATCTCCCCTATACAGTATAGGCGTCGTTTAGCTGCAGGAAATGTTGCGTTTCTTTGTCTTTTCCTACCGTCGCCAAGTTTTCCCTAAATTGAAGCAATCGCCATGTTTTTTTTTTACACATATTTGAGAGCGACCAAATATAACAACACCATGCCTAGTCCATTCTGTATGTTTATGTCTGGCTTTCCAAAAACACAGTATTACGGTTCCTTTCCTCCTTCTATGAACAAGCTTTCCGCCGACCGAGAGACATCTCCCCCTATACAGTATAGGCGTCGTTAAGCTGCAGGAAATGTTGCGTTTCTTTGTCTTTTCCTTAGTACCGTCGTAAAGTTTTCCCTAAATTGTAGCAATCGCCATGTTTTTCACACTTATTTGAGAGCGGAAAATGCAACAACATATTATTAGTCCTTTCTATATGTTTATATTGGCTTTCCAAAAACATAGTCCATTCTATTACGGTTCCTTTCCTCGTTCTATAAACAAGCTTTCCGACGTAAATAGTATAGGCGTCGTTAAGCTACAGGAATACCGTGTCAATTCGTTCGGCGCTGTATGTACTGAGTTCCGAAACATTTCGAACTCATAGAATATGTTTAACTCGAGACAGATAAACCATTTTTCAAACCGAGAAAGACCATGATACTGGGTAACTGTGGACTATTTCAGTTTTCCTTTAGATTAAACGATTCTTTCGTTATCAGCCAGGACCCCATAATTTTTCAGTCAACAACCTACCCGTAGTTTACTACGGTCCGTCTATATGTACGGCGCTGTATGTACTGACTTCCTGTACATTTCGAACTCATAGAATAATTATATGTTTAACTAGAGACAGATAAACCATTTTTCAAACCGAGATACACCATGATACTGGGTAACTGTGGACTATTTTAGTTTTCCTTTAGATTAAACGATTCTTTCGTTATCAGCCAGGACCCCATAATTTCTCAGTCAACAACCCACCAGAAGTTTACTACGATCCGTGTCAATACGTGCGGTGCTGTATGTACTGACTTCCTGTACATTTCGAACTCATAGAATATGTTTAACTCGAGACAGATAAACCATTTTTCAAACCGAGATACACCATGATACAGGGTAACTGTGGACTATTTTAGTTTTCCTTTAGATTAAACGATTCTTTCGTTATCAGCCAGGACCCCATAATTTCTCAGTCAACAACCTACCCGTAGTTGACTACGGTCCGTTTATGTATGTACGGCGCTGTATGTACTGACTTCCTGTACATTTCGAACTCATAGAATATGTTTAACTAGAGACAGATAAACCATTTTTCAAACCAAGATAGACCATAATACTGGGTAACTGTGGACTATTTTAGTTTTAGTTTAACCAGAAACTCATAACTTCTCAGTGAACCTCCCGAACTTTTATATTAATACTACGGTCCGTGTCAATACGTACGGCACTGCATTTACTGAGTTTCTGAACATTTAGAACACAACTCATGGAATATGTTTAACTCGAGACAGATAAAACATTTTTAAACCTAGATAGACCATGATACTGTGTAACTGTAGACTACTTTACTGACGTTCATCTTTAGTTATTCTTTAGATTTAACCCCCTTAGATTGAGCGATTCTTTCGTTGAGGTTAAAAAAGGGCTAGTTACTTCAATCGGTCTTTCAAGGTACATGTATTCATTGTCCGAGGCTAGGCTGGGCGAGTAATCCTTGCGAACTTCTAAGTAACAGAGAAATCTGCCTAAAAGTCTGCAATAACCTGTAATGGGACGACATAATATTCAGGAATTCGCTATTTCAAAATCTTGTTTGGGAGATGTATGGAGCGGATGAAATTATTGTTTTAGTACAGTACAGTTCAGTACAGTACAGGTATTTGTTAAAACTGGCCGGGTTTCCAGCGTTTGTGTCCGAGGCTGGGCAAGAAATCCTTGCGAACTTCTAAGTAACAGAGAATCCGCCCTAAAAGTCTGCAATAACCTGCAATAGAACGATATAATACTGAGGAATTCGCTATTTTAAAATCTTGTTTGGGAGATGTATGGAGCGGATGAAATTATTGTTTTAGTACAGTACAGGCATTTGCTAAAACTGGCCGGGTTTCCAGAATTTGTGTCCGCGAGGCTAGGCTAGGCAAGAAATCCTTGCGAACTTCTAAATAACAGAGAATTTAGCCTAAAAGTCTGCAATAACCTGCAATAGAACGATATAATACTGAGGAATTCGCTATTTCAAAATCTTGTTTGGGAGATGTATGGAGCGGATGAGATTATTGTTTTAGTACAGAACCGGTATTTGCTAAAACTAGCCGGGTTTGCAGAATTTGTGTCCGAAGCTAGGCTAGGCAACGTTATCAGCCAGGAACCGATAATTTCTGAGTCAACAACCTACCAGAAATTTACTACGGTCCGTGCCAGTACGTACGGCGCTGTATGTACTATAGACTATTTCTATTTGTTTATATACGTCGCTCTCCCAAAACTTGCAGTTTCTTTCATTGCTTCTTTTATACAAGCTTTCCGCCAACTTTCCCCCTTTCCTTGTATGCTTTGTTATAAAGCCACTTTTATTTTTTTTTCCGCCGCAAAGTTTTCTTTCTTATAAATGCCGAATATTCTTTGCAGCAAGAGTTCAACAGTTAAAAAATCATGGATGCACAGGCATTACTAGTATTTCTAGTTTCTTTAGCCTATTTGTTGTGTTCAGGCAACGAGGTTCCTTTTTGTTTTCCAAATGTGAATTTATTCATTCAACCCGTGAACAAGCCCGAACGCCATTCATATGACAAGACCGTTTGGGGAATCTCCGCCCTTTCTGCCTGGAGGAGGTCATGTGACAGGCCTTTACCCAATGATAAACAAGAGTGGGTTTTTCAAATCTGCTGAATATACCAGTAGTCATTTTGCTGTGCGTCTACTCTATGAAGGCTTGGACTCGTTTGAACCCGCAAGTTGTGTCCAAGACATTGCTTTTATCACCAGAAGTGGCCACGACGGGACTAAGACAAATCTATACCATTCTGTACAAGTCTGTGGGATGGCGTAGATTGGAGATACTAGTATTGAACATGTCACGGCGCAGAAGGGGAAGATCACGGCCGTATTGCATCGTGCTAACCGGGAGCAGCACAGAAGTTGAGCAAGAGCGCGACCTGACCATCACGGGAACAAGTCAGCGGATTATTACTCTTGCGGTGACCACATCACATGGAATAGCGGGAAAATGGACACAGGAATTGGAATAGTGGCTGTGTACTCGGATACAACAAAGGAAAACCTGCCCTGGTAGCCAGTCTGGATCGGGCCTTCAGCCAGTCCCCGTCGGCGGAACATGGCAGTATGCCCGCCAATCTACATGGGCGCTACGGGGGAGTTAAGAACTCCGAGTGGAGTTTGCCGCTCGGGCAGCAGCTCCCCCGACGGCCTAGCCTGGATGAAAGGCAC